TTTATTTTATTATTTTTATTTTATTTTAAGTTTTTATTTTATACGTTTGTTTTACGATTTCATTTTATTCTGTGTTCTATTTTGGTTTTAACGGTGGTTTCGTTGGCGCGGGCTAGGCAGGAGAATCCCCTCAGCCCCAAAGTGGTTCCCGAGCGATGGGAGGGATGCGGGAAGGATGAGGGAGGGATGCGGGAGCAGCCCCAGCCCCGCCGGCAGTTCTGCCTCGCTCCTCCCCGGGGTCGGCTATGGGCGATGCGAGGGCGAAAAAAATTTTAAATACATATCTAAATATACATAAATATTAGTAAATAAACACATAAATAGAACCGAGGCAGCCCGAGCCCGAATCCTCCCCGCTTTCTCCCATCAGCAGGGTGCAGGAGGCAGCGCTGTGTGCTCGGTGCCTCCCCTCCACAGCGAAATGTGCTCAGGGGCAAAACCCACCTGGCGGCTCGTTTTTAAATAGTGAAAATCGAGTGTTTAAAAATAACCCAGAGCTCGGCCTGCCGGGCTGGCAGCGGGTGAGGGTACAGCAGGCTCTGCTCCGCGGGGAGCTGGGGTTGCTCTGGGGGGGTTTTTTTTGCGCATTTTCTCCACGCTGGTCGCGTGGAAAAGCGAGAGAGAAATTTAGCTTTCTGGGTTTTTCAAAACGAATCAGGTTGTGCCACTGCAGCAGAGGGAAATAAATCCCCTGGAAATATTAAACACAGAGCCCTCCTTCCGTGCATCCCTCCCTGTACCTGAATTTCAGAGGGTGTAAATAGGATTTCAGCATTTCATCACCAATAAATGCTGCAGACCGAGGCACTTAATTCTTTCTTTAAACCAAAATAAGAACACTATATTTTAATGGCCATATGGCAGCATTTTCTCAAAGGCTTCAAATATATACATACAGTGTCAGATATATTTTGACTTCTTTGCATTAATTAAAAGCAGTGATGTTAGGAATTATTTGCATGTAATAGCTGTTTACTTGTTCCTCTTTATGAAACTTGAATAGTTTACATTCTTTCATACATTTCCTTTTTCCTGTTGGCTCCTTCTCCATGTTGCAGTTTCTTTAAAACTCTCCACTTAACTGGTTGCAGGTTGATGGATGGAAAATGTTTTTCTTTTATGAATTAAGCTTTCATTTCTGTAATCAATTATTCTCTTAGGCTCTTTTTTTTCTGGTTGGTTTTTTTTTTTTCATCCCTGCACAAATTTCCAAACTGAATGCAACCCAATCTCAGCTTGACTCTTGAATTCATTATTAACTTGCTTCCTCTGCACTCCCAAGCTCTGAATTAACAGTAGTTTAGTCTCAGAAAGCCCTTGGGTGAATAATCTCCTTCCTCAGGCAGAGTCCTGACAAACGCTCATTACAGCAGTGGAAACACCTCCGCTGCCTCTAACGGGTGGAACTCAAGTGCTTATTATTTTAATTTTTTTTGTTTTGTTTTTACATATTCTTGTGGGATGGGGCTTTGTAATATTCACAGAGGAACAATCCCATCAGGGCTCCCTGGGGGTGGTGTGAAGGTGGCACAGTGGGGTTTTCTCCCGGCGTGGGGCGTGGATTTAGTTCCCCGTGTCCAGCCGTGCTTTCCCGACACGGGGCTCTCTCAAACCAACTTAGTGTGAAAAATCCTTCCTACTGAATTTTTACTCCGGGTGTCACACTCTCTTTCCCTTGCTCGGCTCAGCCTCTGACAGCCCGGTGCTGGTTTCCTTTATTCTGACAGAAATCTGGATTCACCACACAATATTTTGCTGCGGCGGGGCTGTGTGTGTACAAACGTTTGTGGAAATCCAAAGGGAGGGCGTGTGCATATACACCCCCCATCCAGCCTGTCCGTGTGCCTGAGCTGCAGGAGCCTGGAAAACCAGCAGCAGCCAAGCTCTTGTTTTGAAAACATAGCTTGAAATGGTTCAGAATTGGGTGTTTTTAGTGTTAACGTGTCTGGGATTATTCCCCGACGCTGTGAGCTGGGAAGAGCCAGTCCTAACCCCTCCAGAAAAACCCGAATTCCCATCTCCATGACAAAGTGGGGAGAATGACCAGTTTACCAGATTTTATGCTTTGCTCTAAAAAAAGTAAATCAGCCCTTTTCTGCTCAGACTGTATAAAATGAAAGCCGAGGCCGGTGTGGTGCTGCGAGCCCTGTGCACCCTGCGCCTGCTCTCCCTGCTGGAATATCCCCCCTGGAGCATCCCACGGAGCTGTGGGTGCTCCCAAACCCACCCAGGAGCTGGGATCCAGCCTTAGCCAACAAAGCTGGGGCATGGTGGGAACGAGCAACCTCAGCCCGGCTTCCTGAGAAGGCGGGAAATGAGTAAAAATGATGCGAAGTAATAATTGTCATTTTCGATTCACGGGCAG